TATATATATATATATATATAACAAAGTGTCACAAATCATATGAAAATCTACAGCTTTTCCTTGAAGTTATCCACCTTCTGCTCAAGAGATATAAATCATTTCATTTAGAGGAAAAAACAAATTTGAAGTGAATATTTTTGCTTTCTAAGAGTACCATTGATGTTGATTATTACCCTAGATTTCTCTAGATTCCATATTTTTTTAAGAATTGATCCACTCTCCAAAGTCAGTATTTTGCAGCAGAAGGAATTGATGTGAACATTAATTTTTATTTTTACTTTGGGCATGAATATTAGAATTTTTAAAGCCCTTTATATTTTATATTTTATTAGAATTATTCTAACCAACAACATTAAATTGGTTAACAAATTGTGAGAAGTTTGTTAGTTCTTTAGCATTTTGCTAATTTATTAGCAATTTGTTAGTTTACAAGTAGTTTGTTAGCTTCTTAGCAGATTATTTAAATATAGTCAGTAGTCCTAAATTACTTTCACCAATACATATAAAATTCTATATAAGATACATTATGGTATGAATATGTGGAGACTCCTTTCCTTTTATTCTCTGAGTTTTTATCCTTGATTAAATGTGATTCTTGAAAGCTTCAATGAGATTATCTCTTTCAACAATTAAGAAACGTACTTATCAACTATCATATGATTATTTTTATTAATTTCTATATTTTCAATTTTTCTATTAATTCTTCTAATTTATACTAAATTCATCCTGCATCAAATATTATGAGGACGATGAATAATGTTATTCAACCTTTTTATTATAAAATTTCTAGTTGAGTACTTCGATGATTTTATAATCCACAGAAAGACAATCGTAACATCTAAGAAATACCATTGAAATATTGCAAACTTGATTCATTTTTAAAGGAACTCATATATGCAATCTTGATTCATTTTTAAGAGAATTCGTTATTCTAGAGTGGCGTTTTGGTGGTGGTTCAAGACACACTGGTCGAGATAAAACAATAGCTAATGATGGGTATAACTATATATATATATATATTAACCTGCTTAAAAAATAAGGTCACATTGTAGCCACCATTAAGCTATATTCATATATTCATTTAAATTTTTAAATAAAGATCATTGTAGGCATCATCATGGAATGAAGTGGATAAATCCTCATTAAGGAATTTAATGTAAAACTTGCAATCCATGAGCATATTTAGTTCATTAACTGTTCCTCTGTACTCTTTTCATGGAAAAATAACACAAATTGAATAACAATTGAAACTTACAAGAGCACAAGAGCTAACATATCCAACATATCCCGGAGATAGCTTCTAAATGGTGTCTGCAGCTTCTGTGACAATTAAGAAAATATAGAAATGCAAGTCAGCATATTAATTATCAAAGGACGATGAAAATATATAGGCGTGTATATATACATCACGATAAGATAAGTTATACCTATAAGACAGTTGTGCAATTCTACCAATTATATTCTTTTCAAACTACATATAAGCCTAATAACAGGCACTGACAAATGAGTATTCATAAATGAAAACCAATAAAAGGAATGTAATATTCAACCATAAGAACGTAGTACAAATTAAAAAAAAAAACACAGGGCATTATGCCAAAAGCAATTTGTCAAAAATGAACAAAGCTATAAGAACCTACAAATACGCAGCTAAACACAATCATGCATGCATATACCAAGATCTTTGATAATCTTTTCAATCAAGCATTACGCATTGGAAATTCATGCACAGATTGAGGGAAAAATCGGCTATTTTGATAAAGAAGAAAACTTGAATACCATACTTAGTTTTTCTTCCATTAATCTAAAGAAGCTCTGATTCAGAAATACAACTCATGGTCAAATAAAAGAGCACTTATTAAATTTAAGCCAGGTACAACCCAAATGACTAGCCAAGAAACAGTAACAGAGCCTTAAATGCTCTGGGATTCTTGAATAATTGTAAAATAAAGCCGGTCTCAATTGCCCGAAAAGGCTAAAAGATTATAAACCACATATGATGAAGTAAGGAAGATGGAAGATTTTTCCAAGTTTAGCGGTTTACTTATTCTTAACATCAAATCTTCTCAAAGGGAGAGATAATAATAAATTTAGGAAGATGAAAGATTATCCGATAAAAACAATGTGAAAGAGTAGTAGTAAGACTAATAAAAATGACACTATCTCATTTAATCAGCATCCTTTAGAGCCATGCCATATTCATGATCGCATTGACAAAAAATAATAGAAAAAAAATCAAATCATGGCCATTCTACAATCATGATTTTTGGTGTAAAGAATCCACAGATTATGTATCCCCATCAAATCAGAAACACATGCAATTTAATTTTGACATTACTTATACATTTCTCAGTAAAGAACAATAGTGACTAATGTCCAATAAATTATAAAAAAACAATTCTAAATAACAATAGTTAGGCCTTTCTGAAAAAAATATTGTATTAACATGGAATCTTGCATCACATCCTGTAAAAGATAAACAAAAAAAATCATACATTCATGGAAAATATATGAATAATGAAGGATTTAAATGATGTTCAATGGCATGGTATATTATCCAAGTCATTAAGCTATATAGTTAATGCAACATATGCATATAATCCAACTAAAACCATGAGGAATTGCAGCACCATACAAATTCAAATAAAAATAAGAATTACCAGAGTTACAGATAAGCAATGAAACCTATGTTAATTTGTATGTATTTTGGAGGGCCAAGCTTTAGTTTTACCAATACAGGTAGTAAGCCTTCTTCAGCGTGAATTTTTATTTATATTCACTCATTACTTATCCACCTTTAGAGGCCTCCACTTGCCAAAAACTGAATTCAGAATATTTTGAGAGAGAAAAAATAGCATTTTCAAATACCTGTTGTACCACCCCACCTCTCTCTTTTCAGGTCCACTTTGTTATACTACAATTTGCTTTCTATGAAAGGTATTGTTTCATGTTCAAATGGCCAATTCGCAAACAATATGTTTCTATTAGAGAGCCCGCTAATGCAGACCCACCACCAGTCCTTTCAAACATGCTCTTAACCCTATGTTCTTATCCTTTCTCTAATAAAATGCTGCATCACCATTTTCCAGTGTAGTGCTTGTTGAACTCATTTTGAGGTCATTTTTCTTCTCCCTAAATCCTAGGATCTAGCTATCTAGCTCTAAGATCCTATTGACTATCTTAGAGGACTAGTATTGGGCTCCATCCCTTTTAGAAATTCAAGTCACTTTCTGATTCTCTTGTGGTGTCTCGCATGAGTGATCTCAAACCATCGTCGTTTGGTCGAGTGGTTAAGGATCAACATGTGGGAATCAAAGAGAAGTTTCCAATAGGATCTCAAACCCTAGGGAAACCCCTTTAAGACTTTATCAGCACAAACAAAATCCACTAAGTTGCGCGAGGTCGGACTAGAATTGAGCCTAAAAAGGGTGAAAATGTGAACTTCTCCGAACAACCTCGGATGACAAAACGATTGCGTCGGCACGTCCAAAGCGTCAATTTTACCCAGAAAGGATACCCATTTTGCTAGGTTTCCGAGCACAAATAAATCACACACTAATTAATATAATTAAATAATAACATAAAACAAAATAATAAAAATAAAAGAAAATCATTATTTTTAAACCTATTTCACCTAACTCATGCACCCGATTCGATCTTCACCTCTTTTGGTCTTCCTTTGTCGAGAAGCTCGGCTCGCCCTCCCAAACTCGTGCCCTAGATCCACGCGGCTTCCTCCTCCGCTCCCGACTCCTCTTCTTCTTCAATAGCAGCTCGACTGAGCGGCTCTCCAATCATAGGATTTCGGCTGGCCGACCTTTCTCCTTCTCGAGGCCGCATTTTCTCCTCTCTAAATGCGTCTTTTACTTTCCCGTTACTTCATTCGGCCATGGCATCGTGGTAGGTGCGGCTCTGTCTCCTTTCCTTGCTTATAAAAGCCCTTCCTAGGGCACATTGGTGGGTTGTTGAAAATTTTGAGAGGAGAAGAGAAAGGATTTGGGGCATCATTGATCATGAACATTTGCTGCTGTATTTCTCGAGGCTTTCAGGATCTCTTTTGCATCAAGGATCTTAAGGGAGTTTTTTGCTGATTTTTATTTTCTTAGGCTGGTTCTTGAGTTGACTATTGAATCTACATCAAGAGATAATCTTCTTCCTCCTTTTAACAAGCATTCAAAGGATATATATGTTTTACCCTATTCTCATGCTTTGGGTTTAATGGATTCATAATTTATAAAAATGAGTTTAGGAGATTTTGCTTTGATGATTTCTTGCCTAACGATATGAATAATCTTTCTAATCGACGTCATTTGAAGTTGTCCCTGAATGCTTTTTTTTTAAAGTAATCTTTCTAATCTGTCACTTGGAATGGCCCTCGAATACATTCACTAAAGTAATCTTTCTAATTTGTGTCACTTCGAAATTGCCCCTAAATGCATTCTCTACTACGCCTGGAATTGGGAAATTTCGGTCACTTTAAGCACTTATTGAGTTTAATGTTAGGAAAGAGAATGTTTATGGAATTAGAGTTTAATGTTAGGAATGAGAATGTTTATGGAATTAGGGAGCTGGAACATATGAGCTAGATGCATAAATTAAAAATATATTTTTCTGAAAAATGTGAAGGATGTTAGAGAGGCTTGCACAACAAAAAATTATTTGAAAAAAAAAAGAGAGAGAAAAGCTCAGATTTTTTTCTCAATTTGGGGCTTAGTTTTGGCTCCCTGTGGTTATCTTTTTTGTTCAAATTGCATGTTGGGCGAAAATTTAATTTTTCAAATTTCTTATGCTGTCATTTATCTATTTAAAGTACATGCTAGATGGAATAACTATTGCTGCCCTTGTTTGAAATGCATGCTGGAAAAAAATTTTATGATAAGGAATTATTTTGGTTGCCCTGTTTCGAATCACATGTGGAATGAAATATTGATTTGAGACTTGACTTTTGAACTCTCTATTATTATTACCTCTGTTCGGATAGATGCAAACTTCGGGTTTTAAAGCCTTGAGGAATTTACTTTGTGCTGGGCTCGATTTGTCCCCTGTGTTGGGCTCAATTTTGTCCCTGTGCTGGGCTCGGTTTTGCTTTGAAATGGCTTAGTTTTGCCCCTGTGCTGGGCTCGAATTTGCCTTGTGATGGCTGGGTTTTGGCCACCTGTTGGGTTGGACCTTACTTTTGGGTTGGCCCTATGTTGAAAATATTTCGGACTTGGTTTTATTTTGGCTTGGTTAGGTGTTGTTTCCAACACAGTATATGGTTTGGTTTTGCACCCTAATGTAGCCCCGTTTTAATTCAAAAAATGGCTCGATTTTAATAATGATAGAGCCCTGTTTTAATAAAATGTATGTCTCGGCTTGGGATTTGATTTTTGATGTTTGGGGCTTTGTTTTGTTGTAGCTTTATTTTGCTGTTTCTTTGAGGCCTTCTACGTTCGAAATGCATGAACAGTTGAAATTTGGTTTCTAGGACCTTTTATAGTTGCTTTGAGTCCTGTTGTTGCTCCTTACAGTTGCTGCCCTCTTTTCTAATCATATGTTGAAAGGAATGTTGTTTTTTGAGAGCTTTTAAAATTTATTTCAGGAAGGTTCATTTTTGTTCATTGTTTCTTCCTCTGTTCAAAACACCTGCAGATGGAAAGGTGTGATTTTGAAGCTTTTTGGGCTTGCTTTGGGGACCTGTGTTGCTTTTTTTGGCCTTGATCATTTTCGGTTGTGAGTTTTTTTGTTGGGTTGGGGATTTATATCTTAAATGGTTGTTGGTTTCCCTTGGTTGTCCCTGGTCGTAAACCTCCATGCCTTATTTCTTTGATTCTTTGTTGCTTGCTCCTACCCGTGAGCATCCCTAATGCGGTTCCTTTTGTGTTGTTGGCTGGTGGTTTTTCCTCTTTGGTTGTCCTTACCCGTAAGTTGGCAATTGTTGGTTTGTTGGTGGTTTCTCTGGCTGCACCTACCCGAGAGCACCTAATTGTGATTTCCCTTATATTGGGCTCGGTTTGCCCTTTTGGCTGCTACCCCTGCCTGAATAGGAGTTAGTGGCTTCTCTGGATGTTCTTGGCTATGAGCATTCCTTGTAGTATCCTTCTTTTCTGTTCGAATATTTCCTGTTGCCTGGGTGATGAATATTTAGTTGCATGTGCTATTGTGGGCCTGAGTTGAGCCTTTTCTGTTGTGTCTAATTGTGGTTCAATCATAATTTTAATTTGGGCTCGACTTGCCCTTCTTGGTGCCTTTGCCCGTGAGCTTGATGGTCGATTCCCTCTCTGTGTTCTTGGTCCCTCCTTGGTGCCTTGGCCCGTGAGCTGAGCTTGGGTGGGCTTTTC